CGCGTTTAACGACTATTTATTATATTTACACTATTCGGACCTACCGTCGGGGATCCCACCAGAGAATACAAACACACATAGTGCAACTGCAATCACCACAGTTCGTCCTCGCCTTCGAGCACGGCGAAACCATCACAACGCGTACACTAGGTACACCCGCATTCCAGGGCGGTTAGCCAAACACAGTCAACGGCCATCGGGGTCACGGTCCTTACAGAATCTCGATAGCCCGTAGACGACACTCCTTAGCTAACGCACGCATGAGCACATGCGTGGCCCTACCCACAGCGGAGGGCCCAACGCGTGGGTTCTGGCTAGCCCACCGGTTCTGCGTTCGATGAAGCTTCAAGGACTGAATGCGGTAACATCAGTTAATACAAGTTATACACTAACACTTATTGTGTTAAAGAAATAACTAGACCAAAATCACAAATCCCAATAAAAACATAGGCACTTTTAAATGTTTTAGTTGTGTAAACTAAAATATTTAAACGTGCCTTTCTACTAATATTTAAATATTGAAGCTTTAACGTTATCATTTTAAAATCCTTTTTCTATTAAATCATCCCTTATTAGCTGATTGAAGCATAAGTATCTTCATAAAAAAAGTAGCTTATGGATTGATATGATATTTTTCTTCACAGCATAGCTATTTAACAGGAGAGTGATTTTATATACCTTTTATTTCGATGTTCCAACGTAAACGAAAAGAAGGTCCATAACTAAGCGTGGCCAGGTTCAGCTAGTTTCATAAAATACTAATGAACTAGGGGTCGCCCAGTGGTCGAAATTCGACCATAATTAATTATGCATGGTAGTGTGCGTAATGTTATTTTTAATAATTTAATGTATTTTATTAGACATATTTAAAAAAAATATTAGCAATTTGCACTCCCCCTCTTTATAAACTATAAGTGTGGGAAATTTCATACTCCTCCGTCTGCGCAGTTTTCGTAAAAAGGGGTACAAAGTTTTTAGTACATTCTACTTTTTATGACTGCCAACGTCAAAGCTAATTGATGACGTCTTAGTCAAAAATAGGTGATAGAGAATATGGGAGTAAAATGAAAAAAATATATATAATATTATATCAATTATGCGTTCGTTTCACCCAAATTATCGAGAAAAGGAAATGGCTTATTCCCAATAAGCGATTTCGTTTCGTAATTTACTATTGCTCTCATCTTTTTTTTATTTTACTTTGCGATCTGTGACTTGTTTTTGCGCTAAATGTAGTTTTTTTTCCTTTTTTGGCAGATATTTATGACGTTAAGGTGACGAATGTCGAAACTACCAGACGCGGAACAACTATCCGTGGGTCACACAAATAGTTGTCCCGTGTGGGAATCGAACCCACGACCCCCGACGCCGAAGCCGATACCTTGGCGACTGCGCCACGGAGTCAAAAATGCAAACAACATTCGTTGATTTTGAACTAAATAGTATCAACAAGTGGCTTTTTTTTTATCTAAACTATAACTATAATGTGATCGAAGATCATTAACATTGATTATTTTTGCAGGCTATACTTATAACATTGATAATTTCTTCGTAAGATTTGTAGTCAGAAGGGAACATGAGATCGTTAGTTTTGACTTGCACTAGAACCGCCTTGAAGCGATTATCACAAAAAATTATCCTTATTCGTAATCCAATGTCGGAGTTTTGTAATTTTATAAATGATGTCGAACTGTTTCTGATCTCAAATTATGTAAAACGGATTGTAAAATGGTAATAATAATTGATAGAAAGCCCACACGTAAATTCACCGAAAAAAGGGAAATTACAGAGTTTATCACATTGTTTTTAAAAATATTTTATATACATCATTCTGTATCTCTCAACGATTTATTATTATTTCTTTTGTGATATTTGATCTATTGACTTTGACGTAAGCAATTGTTATAAAATAACTGTATATCTTTATGATTACGGTACAATTGTTTAAATAATAAAGACAAATATTTCATGTAAGTGTAGTAGGTAGATTTAATACAAATTTAATTAAATTTATTATATGTCCTACCTACTAACATTTAATAGTGTTGAGTGCTTAGTCAGATTAAGAGGAAAAAAATTTAAGGCTTAAATTCTCCTTTTTTTAAATACCCAGAATAAATTTATGCCTGATTGTTAATTTATGCTAGTTTTATATAGGCCAATAAAAATATCAGTAATTAACGTTAAAAACTGCATGACTGGATGTCCATAATAAAATTATGCATAAAATTTTATTTGAAAGCTGGTGCTTTCCATGTGGTACCATATTAATTTCATTGGTATTGGATCTTGAGCTCCAGAGATACTTAGGAAAGTCCTAAAAATCAATTATAAAATTGATACGGAGCGAGATATTTGAAGTCGGTTTTGTTTTTCATAAATAAAAATAGCCTTGTTAGTCTTCCATTCAAAGCATTTAAAAGATTCGGATTGCGTTAACATAAAGTTTTTGACAAACTTTAGTATCAAACAAAGCTTTCTCGCCTAGATAAGATTTTTTTAAAATTATGGATGAATAGTCTTATTCACCGATTAATCTAAGGTATAAAAGTAAGTAGATAAACAAAATCACTGTAAGAATTATATCAAAAGGACTAAGTATAAGGTTCATTGCTATTATAATTTTAAAGGAGTTTTAACCAGCTACGGAAGCTTCCACTGTTTTTACAGTTATTATTAAGACATTAACTGTTATTTTATTCACGTTGTATAAAAGAACATTCAGAAAAAATTTGCACAGAAAAAATACATGTATCAACATAATCATATAAAAAACAAGTAATGTCTTTTTAGTTATTTTTTTTAAAGATATTTGATATCAATTTATTTTTTCTGAACCTTTGACAATTTTGTGATTTACGTAATGGCTAGTTATGTCGAAAGAAGGCCATAAGTTATGATGGTTTTGGATTCACTAAAATTATATTATTTGCCCCGATAAATGATTTCGAGAGTTTATTATTCATTAGTTATTACTAGTAATTAATGGGTTTTAAACAATAATTCACGAATAAATGAAACAACACACTATCTAGATAACAATGTATTTTTGTCATCAACGACAAACTTAACAATAGACTACAACATAGATCTTGTCAATTGGCGCGAAGTGTAAACTTTACGTGAAGATCCAGGGATTATTTACCAACACTTGGCTAAGAATGAGTACATCTGAAATAGTTGGTACTATGCACGCGTGCTTTACAGAGTCGAACTAAATGCAGAAAAGTAATGGACGGCTCGGAAATACTAGTATTCTGCCCAAAGAATTATTTTAGGAATTATCTCTCAAAGTATTGGTTAACAAATCATAGTATTGTTAAGTAATGTTTGTAAACTGTACAATTTACATAAATAGGTAAATATATTCTCGTTACAATATTAAAACATTACTTTCATTTATTCCTACATTAACATTGCTTTGAATATTGAATGATAAGTCGACAAAACAATTGACTCAAATGTGGCTTAGCTGACGCAGAGCCCGTTAAAATTACTGATATAGGTAATGACTAATTTAAATAATTTGATAATATACAGTTATTAATTATCATATTTCATATTAGAATTTAGAAAACACATAAACGTAAACTATATAAATATAAAAATAAAAATCAAGCTTACATAATGGTGCGCAATGTCAAAATGTTGAAAGAAGTCGAAGCACGAATAATTGATTTACATTTTTGCTAACATCCAAATTACATTTCATTTAAATTTCTGTTTAAATCGTATTATTGAAAATTATACAACAGTCGCATTTCATAAGCAAAGTATAAAATATTGACGATCTATATGTAGATGGTATGTATTGGCTAGTTTATTTAACAAAGTCGAAACATATCGGTATCAAATCCTTACATTAGAAGCACTTTCCATGAAGTCATAATTATAAAGTACAAGTACCTAGTTACAGAAATAGCAACGCTAATAAGATGTTTCACTTCAATATACTCTGGCTTTAAATATAGTAGTTAAGGGATTGTTAAATGCTTTTTGGCACTAACTTTTTTTTAGACATTTGTATAAATTTTATTTTACAATACATTCGGATATTTACAGTTAATGGGAAGATACACTCTATGTTATTTACATAAGTATAAACGATTAAAAGTTAAATGATTGCCTGTTAAATACATCATGGTATATATTTTCTTAAATTTTTACGATATAACTGCGGAAACGTGTACAATATCTACAGCTGTATGTTTGTTTATATATGTAAGCTTTAGCGACAACCATATTTATATTTGAATATGAAGTTACATTTGTGCATAAAAATATTGCAGACAACAATTTAAGTTACACTTTGCCGTAAAAGATAGATTAAGACTTTTGCGCTAACACTGCGTTTCATTGTCTACAATATCTGTATCGCATCCACTAATCTAACATAATATTGATTATATTTCACACATCCATTAAAATACTATGTATAATAACTACGAAACTAAAGAGCGGGCTAGAATCCCTCTCCGCCATAATTTCGTTAACTCACCGTTTGCCTACCAATGGAATGGCGTGTCTGGCGCACATTCGATGTAGAATAATCTCTCTAAGCTGACCGATTAAACACAAAATTTCATTTAAGATCAAAATCGATTGAATGTAGTTTCTAAATTTCTCTAAGAAGTTGCACAAAAAATTGTCCCTATTAACCTGAATGTACTATGAGACTACTTTAATGTTCTACTTTTGCTGATTTTAAAGATATACGCTCTCAGGTTTGCAGCACATCAAATTCCAACTTTTAGAAAGAAATACAAATTAGATTCGAAAGCAAAACAAAAGTTAAATGTACTCTCATAAAAGTGAAATAAAAAAAAAAGATTCAAAAATATTATTACAGAAGTTGTATAGAACATGGCGTTTTAACGGAAAAGAAATAAAAAAAGAAACAAAAAACAGCCCGCTTAGGAGCGCGCCGCGTGCTGCAAGCTCCGCTCTACATGATACGACAATGAAACGGCCTAGGACTACCGCCGGTACAACGATCTGCAATGAGATGCCCTACTGCGAGCCCTCGAGGGGCCCACGAACCAATGCAACCTCCATGGCACATGGATGACGAACGCAAGTGAGTCGAGAACGTGTGAAACGCCTTAACACGCTTAGAAGCTCTAATCGATTTCTAGTGAAAAGCTAATATGAAAATGAACAGGGTTCAGAACTTTACGAAATTTCATTTACTTCTCATAGCACCAATGCCAATCTATCAAATATTAGCATAATTCGTTTCAAAATAAACAGTAAGATCTATGTTATCGCCATCTTCAACAACTCTAGATCTATCAAAAAGGTGCCAAATTTTCCCTACGATTTGTTCTACTTGTAAAAGTTTTAACCTTTGTGGAGACTTTAATTATGTTTTTAGATTTATTACAATTGGTACTGGTGGATGATTTATTTTATAAAATTCAGTCATCGACTACTGTTTAATTTTGATGGATTGCTACTTCTTAGGAGAAAAATGATCAAAAAAATTTTAACACTACCCAAAAAGACGCCCCTGTTAGATAGTGGGGTGTTCGCCGTGAACGTAATCTACAGTGACTTCTTGGGCAGTGTATTATACAAATTACGTTTTCACGTCTTTAGAAAAATTTAGTTGAGTTACATTAAGTTTCATTGCCTCCCTTGTGCCATTAATTCCGTTTAGCCATATTCTATACCTGCTCGTGATCGCCGCTTGTTCCTATTATTCCCATATCAGTCCGTTGCAACGTCAGGTTAGAAAAGTTCGTAACAGTATTCACCGTCGAGTCGTGCAGAGCGAGGCGCACTTTCACCGCTTGCTCGCCCGAAAACTCCGCCCGACTGGTTCGTCCGCTTAGTGCGAATTCCGAGAACTACAGTGAGGAGTGCCATCGTGTCGGCGGTGTAGAGCGAGAGAGCAAGAGCGGACAGTGCGCTCAGAAGAGCATGTGGCAGCGCAGGTTGGAGTTGGCTATTCCGTGGTGTGCGCGGTGAGGTCGACCTCCGGCGTCGCGTTGCCCAGCGCGGCCGGAGGGTCGCTGGCGGGGAGGGAGAGTAGATGTTAGGCCTCCAGGAAAATTAGCGCGGTCGGCTTTGGCTCCAAGTTGGATTTCTTCGCTTCGACGACGAGAAACTCAATTTCCTGCGAACAGTTTGATACGTATATTACTACAGACGTCTTACCGTGATATCACTTGGTTCTAAAATGTGAACTTTTTAAATTTTTCAAAATATATAAAGATAAAACATATTCTGATAACTTTGAAGAAAATTCTCATCTCATACGGTTGGTATTTTACATTTATAACTCGGTTTTAGAAAATATACGATTTGATCTGGATTATATTCGTGAATTAACACAAGTACAAATAACATACATTGCCGCAAAAATACATAGAAAAATTACGATATCTCCCAACGCTATATATAAATAGGCTACTTATCTAATTAATGCGTTTTATAAATCGAAAAGGAGAATCATTGTTGGAAGTTACAGTTTAGAACAACGGATTAACTCTTGGCGCACCAACCGCGGCACACTCAGAGGAAGTAGACATATGCTTTGCTCTTTACAACACCACGAAGACCGACTTCAATGTTGTAATGGGGGACTTTAACGGAAAGTTGGGTGCACAAAACGCCAGCGAATCCGTAATTGGAGCGGAAATCGCTGGTTATATTGCTGGAGAGCCAGGGGTTCTAATGATGAAGTCATTCATTCTTCAAGAAACAATTCCAAAGAAATAGACGCGCTGAAGCAGTGACGCTGAGACCAATAAATAGAGAGATGTTATAATGAATTAAAGCACGTATTCGGAGATGTCTCTGTGATCAACAAGTTAACCACTATAATAAATGAAACTAATTTTTACGGATTTATCTACTAGTAGATTGAACAAGTCTGCAGTTTGTGAGCACACCTTAAATCGACCATTACATCAGGTTTGATAGACCACAGATCCTTGCAAAAGAACACTGATTCCTCCCAAGGATGATTCGCGAGGCTATTGAAAATAAAAAATACCCTAATTTCAATAGAGAGGAGGGTTGGGTGCTACCATCAGCTTGGGATTCTATCATCAATAAAATTTAATCTAGGCCCAAACGAACCACTACTGCAAGACAAGATACAATTAGCTCCCTCTGCATAGATCGGACACAAAATTAGTAATTCAAAAATTGATGGTAGCCCGGGTTAACTATAACAATCAGATGTCCAACACCTCAGTCTGTCCCGTGACCATGAACGTTGTAAATGGTTCGAAACATCGGGAATTAAAATTAAAAACAAACGCGATAAATCCGTAAAAATTAGTTTCATTTATAATGTGTAATCGCGTAAATACAAGGAAGTATCAAGTTAACCACTGTTTTTTCTTTAATGTGAAAAAGTGGCAAACGAGCCGGCGGTTATCACCTGATGTTAAGTGATAACCGCCGCCCACGGACATTTGCAACACCGGTTATAGATGTGTTGCATGCACCTTTTAATAATGTGGGCCCGGCTACCTCACTCACCAGACGAAACGCAGAAGTGGGACACTTCTACATTACGCCGGTCTTTTGAGTGGTCGTGGTACTAACCCGGACGGACCTACAATGTTCGTGCAACACCGAACACTGTTGCGTGGTCATACCACAGTTGAAGTGTTGATGAAAGATTAAAGCAGTGATCACCGTCTTATAAGAGGTACTCTGAATATTAAATGCAGGATCGGACCAATTCCATATAAACCTGCAAATCGATTTGCTGTACTGGAATCCACAATTGATTTGAACGAGACCCCTAGAAAAAAGGTGCAACTTCTCCGGGAAAAAGTTTTGACAGCTGCGCCGTACGGAGAAGAAATCCAAAACTTCGGAAGAGACTCCGACTTCTACAAAGAAGACGTGAGGAATTGTAAGCTATGACGTCATCAGAAAAGCAGGACCTCAATTGTAAAGCTTATACAAAAGAAGAGAGCAACCCCTTCGTCGCAGATTCTTGGACTATTGGAAATTTCGATTACATAGAAACGTTGGCTGTTTTTCAGTTTTTGCAGCGATGCTAAGGGGACTATCGGTACATCAAGGTGGTAAGATCACTGCATGACGGTGCAACCTGTCGTCTAAATATGTCAGAATTCAGCGGGATGTGAGTCGGGGGACCTCATTTCTTGGAAATTGTTCGCTAAAGCCCTAGAAGACATGTTTACACTGGACTGTAGAGGTATGGGCATCAGCGTTAACTGTACCCGTCACACTCGGTATGAACACACACAAAACAATATTTTTATCAATAATTAGTACTATTAATATTGACTTAATATTAATACTACTTTTAATTTTTAAGGAGCTCGACCGAACTTTCGCTTACGGTAGAATAAACTATTACTATTCTTCGTACAATATATAGGCACAAATATTAAAACATTGCATATTTTGTACATGAGTAACCAAATAGATAAAGCCCTGGAGTATCACATCGAATAACTAAAACTAAAATTAAGTTTTATAAATCTGTCCTCTTGAAACGATACATGTATATAAAAGTGCTTCGCATTTTAAAGAGCAGCATTCAATTTGTTATATCCTAAAATATTTATTTCTCGGAAAAGTATATGTCGCCTATAATCGTATAGATGTGTCAACTCTCCATGTATAAACGTGTTCTTGCGTAATATGTAGGACGACATGGTAAATCGACCTCCATTCACTTTAATCAACCTATTCCGATCACACGCACAACTGCGAGTTAAAAGTTATTTAAGTAATTCGTTGTGGAAATTGACTTTGCTGTAAATATAAAATGGTAGAAGTATTTTAGATATTCGGAGTGTAAAATAACAGTTAATCTTTTATTTCTGTGAAGAAATGACTATAAATAGATACAGTCTATTATTGATTTCGAATTTTATTGGTTATTTAACTTTATTTAACTTATAAGAATCTTATGGTATCTTGGAATATTAATTTGGAGTAACAGCCACATTGCTAGCTGGCGTAAAATAAGTAACAGGTTTTTAATACGAGCGGTATTAATAACCAAGAGATAATAACAGAGAAGCATAGAATGTAGATAATTATTTTCTCACAGGTTTATCTCTCTGAGCAAAAGATTCCGCTATAAGCCGCGCGACGTCCTGGTGCTGCATGCCCTCCACTCGGTGTCCATCCACGGCCAAAATCAGCTGACCCACCTCAAGCCCCCCGGCTTCATAGGCCGCACCATGCTCCTGAAAAACAAACTTTTCTTATGGAATGGAAACAAGCTTTCTTTTCCCAACTATCACACAGAAGATTTTTTTTGCGATTAAACCTTCATTTGTTACTATTTACTATTAAATGCATTATTTTGTGTACTGTGTACGCATTCATCAATTAAGGTAACAGTACTTAAATCAGAGATTTTGAATACAGTTTTTTTACAAGTAGTCTCACATGTATGTTTATTATCCTTGGAAGTGGGTGTTTCGTGTTCGCGCCGCCTTCTATGGCGATTCCGAGTATTGGTTTGGTTTTCTTGACGGTGATGTGTAGGTTGCCATGGTGATCGGGCACCACCCGCGCCGCCCGATTCTCGTCCGTCTGCGCTTCGCCGTGTTGGAGGCGTTGCATGGACTGGTGCCTTCGCATGCCTCCTCGCTCGTCCAGCAGGGTGCCACCTTCCTCCTTCATGTCGAAGCTTCGAGACAACTTATGGGCCAACTCCTGCAATCCGTTACACTTCGTAAAATAATCTCCCAACGGCTCTCTAATATCGAAGTTTAGAAGGCGATCGGTTATGTCGGTTATCGAGGAGTGTTTACTACCCGGGTGTTCCTGGCCTAATCGAACGGGATGATGCGTGTATATTTCCTAGTTTCTAACTATACCACATCCATACTAAGAACGGGGAAGCTAAGACTCTAACAACAGCAAATTTTGATTCAGCCTCTAAATATGATTGAGTGCTCTATGAATAATTGCGGACTGTGTAGCCGGGTGGAACAGGGCAGCAAATTGGACCGTAAACCACAGAAAGGGACACGGCCGCGCACTTTGCACGACCTTACGCCTTTCAGTTACAATCATGTGAGTGATTTGTATACTCCAATGTGTCGAGAAGCTGTTAGTGAGATGTGAGCTGGAGGCTTGGAATCATGCGTATCGATCACTCGGTGGCGTGGTACAAAGGTATTCGATACAAGTGTATGCAATGTTGAGGGACCGTCGGCCCTCAAAGGACCTGTACAGGACAGTTACGTTATATTAAACCGATACTATAAATATAATAAAAAAAATACAATAACTTAAAAATAACACTGCAATCCGACACGCATAAATGTAAATAAAATAAGACATTTATGTTGGTAAATAATAATAATAATTTGCACTTAAGTCAGCATGCACTATCTTTTAAATGTAATACGATAATTGCCTTGCGGTATTGGACAAAGTCATTCGCGATGAGTTTATGCCTATACTGAAAGTGTTATTCAGTCATGCAACACTGTAGCTCGACCCAATCATTTTACATCTACAAACTAATGAATTAACCAGTACGGCTAAATTTTGACATGTGCTATCTACTCTTGTACTTGAATAAAACAAAGGTATAAATTTCGAGAACCAAATGGAAGCTTGTTAATATAAATAAAACGTTAAAATAAAGTGCAATCGTGTAAGTATAATATAAATAAACATACAGTAAGTAATGATAACGACTATATGTATAAACAGAAAGCAATCGTTTGGATTGAAGCGTAAAGTTCCAATTGAGATGAATTGTAAGAAAACAAAACAGATTTCTTTTTTGTTAACATCGTGCAAAAGTAAGAATCGTCAATGTGCTAGGACAGTTCGCCCGCTCGATCGGCGTCAGGCGGGGCCACTTACTAGAGGTCGTCCCCAGTACCACGACTTTACTTTCTGCGTCCAGCCACCGAGTGATGAGCGCAGGCCCTCGAGATAGCCGCACTGAAACATCACTCACGCTCAGCACAAGACCGACTTCTACAACAGGCGAGCGCCCGGCGACCCACCCACCTAACACCTCTTGCCAATTCAAGCCCTCGGCTTTGTGATCATACTCTAGTACCGAACGAAAACGCTGCGAAGAGTTTATGTAATTGACAATAATCTGTTCAACTACGGGGAGCTAATGCCATTTAGACTTCTTCAGACTGGACACCTTGGAAGGTCTAATTTTTATTAATTATTAATGTTACTCATTATGCGCATGGGAAGTAGCAATAATTATAGCCATCTAAAATTCTCATATACGCGTTCACAAGTAGTTGCGAAGCTGTATTTAAAATATACCAGTAATACTTACGGTACTTAAAACTAATGGTAGATGGTAACTAATGTAGGAATAAAGGATTTAGGTTCAAACACTTGCGCACTGTAGCGATTTGATTTTGATGGAACACTGTGATTGTCTGTGATTACATACCTGATCCTATTTGTCATGAAAGAATGCATGCAATAAAATCACACGAATAAATTTAGTTCCCATTTTTAAATTAAAATGACTTCTAGGTCTAGTCAGATGAAGTTAATTAAAAATGCAGATAGCAAAAGGTTGTATATGCTAGATTTGGATATAAAACAAATTTAACTTTCATTTTCACTTAGTCTTGAAAAAGAATCGAATCAGCTTTGTTAAGCAAGTCAGTAAACTTTTTCATGCAACTTAATAAAATATTATCTGATGTATCATTTTTGAAACGCTTTGCATGTATTAAACACATCTAATTTTAGAAATGAATTATGTCTCTTGAAATACAGCTAAGATAAATGGTTGACGCTGAATTTTAAAAAAAACGAGCAATGCCGCGGCGCGTTCATTATATCATCCAATTCCGTCGATAATCAAGAGCGTCCGTCTTGTTAGCCTTCTATAAATAACAAGATAATATCGTTTATCGTACACATGCCGACCCTCGATATGCCGACGTTCACAGGTACAATATGTGTACATACATTTTGGCAGAAACAATGGCAGCAAAGCGCAATGCTTTATGACATTACTTACTAATATAACCAGAAAATCATTTTTTCATATTTTTCGTCTAATTTTCTTATGTGCATGTACTTTTTGTATGTCTATTTAATATAAATGAATTATTGCGGTTTAAAAACACATCTCAATGACAAGTTTTTATGACGATATAATTTTCAGTTTTTTTAAGTCATTATAAATTAACCCAGATCTCTTATAGGCCTCAATACATCAGCATCAATATATCAACGTCTTAATTATCATAACTACTAAGTTACATGTTGCCATCAGAGGAAAGTAATTATATTAACCACAAATAATACATCTGGATCTTGGTGATTGGCTCTGTTTATTTTTGTGTGTTGTAAAACACCTCTATCTGCCTTGACTGGGCCTTATGGTTGATTTAATGTTTATAAAATTTAAAAATTAATAGCCTACTGATTATCTATAAATGAATCCATGAATATAAGATAATTTTACTAAGACGAAAGGTTTTTGAGAATATCCCAAGTTTTTTAGGGATCTTTTGATTTTATAGGAGAACAAGAAAAAGGAACAAAAATTACATAAAATTATTTTATATTGTAATACCTTTTTCGTAATAACGTCTACCGTTATTATCTACTAAACGCAATTTGTTCTAAACAATCTTTCTTAAAAAAGCACACTTCAGAGCTATAGAGGAGTTTGTTTTCCTAATAATCTTATCCTTTAAACGAGCAATTCTTGTATATATATATATAATCGGAATTTCGGAAACGGCTCCAGCGATTTTCATGAAATTTAGTATGTGCATAGATTCGGGGGCAAAAAATCGATCTAGCTAGGTTTCATTTTTAGAAAATGTCCTTTTATCCCTGTTTTCAGGGAATGAAAAATATAATTCGAATATGACGGTAAATTTCGCCGCAAGAGAAAATGTCATAATAGCTCGGTCGGTAATCGGGCGGCCCCAAAACAGACGGCCGTGGTTCGCGTCACGATCATTTACACATTTATTTTTTTACTTTTTTTTTCGGATCCAGATCATTGCTTTCTATATTTTTAATTTTTTGTCGATTTGTTATTTTGTTATTTTTTTCCCTTTTTTTAAAGTTCTTTCTTTTGTGAAAAACATAAGTTCATACTTTCTTATTATTACGTCGGTAAGATCGAAAAATATTATGCATATTTCATTACTCAGTAATTTGTATCTAAATGTAATTTCCAAAATACACGATTTACCAAAAAAAAAAAAAAAAACAAACCGAGCAAAGCTCGGTCCTCCGGATACTAATAATAATGTTTATAACATATACATTGGTAATGTCATTTCATTAACGGGAAGGTTCATCCGGGGAAGTACCTCACAGAATGCCGGCGTCAATAAGAATTGTTATACTTTTCCGCGTGTCGCCTGGTGAGTGAGGTAACCGGGGCCCACTTTATTAGAAGGTGGCATCTGCAATCCTACGGATTTTGCAAATGTCCATGTTCGTCGGTTATCACGATTTTTTTCTTCACGGTTAGTATTAGTTTATTAAAGAAAAAAAGAAACATTTTTTTATTAACTAAAAACAAAACCGACTTAAAATATCTCGCTGTTTATTCATTTTATAATTGATTTTCAGGAGTTGCCTTATATATCCGCAGCCCAAGATCCAAAACCATATGGGAAGCACCAGGTTTATAAAAAGAATCATCAAATTCGGTTCATTCAGTTGAAAGTTCTAAGGTAACAAACATAAGAAAAAAAAATACAGCCGAATTGAGAACCTCCTCCGTTTTGAAGTAGGTTGAAAATACTTGGCACTCACAGAATTATAACTTAAGATGAATTTTAACTAACAAAGGACAAGAAAACTGGTACTTTTCTTATTCAATAATTAAGTATGGTTATTGGAAGGAAAGTTAGCTCTAGGTCATTCTTCGTGGACTAGGTTACTTAGACAATTCTCAATTTTTTAGATCTTTTAAATATGCAAAACGTAGTAACTCATATTCCATAAGCAATACACACGATCATCATGTGCATCACATTAATATTAACCATTGCTTTTCATAATTTAAACAAAAATGTTTGCATGATGTTTTTTTCCATTCTATATTACTTACGGAAGTCGTTTTAAATCCGTCTTACATATTAATGTTTAATCCGTGTAATTCTCCAGCCGCGAAAGTTTCAGAAAGGAAAGAAACGTCTGATTCATAAACGGTCACTCCGTGCGGCCAATATCGGTTATCGGTTTCACTTTTACCGACAATCGCGAACAGCACGCACGCCTTACTAATCACTGCAATAATTCCGATTAATCACTGACTTTCTGCAAAATGAGAAATCGTGACTAAAGAACGGCGCAGAACTAGTTCCCAAATTGATACAAATTTTTCAAAACTTCGTGTAATATATAAATACAGCCGTGGAAATCAGTATCTCAAGTTTTACTATAAAATTTATAGTATTCACAAGTTGATCTAAAACAAACATCGCCGTTATACAGGTGCTCTTTTGACGTTAAAAAAGAAAGGGATAATTTACACCATGTTTTAACGAAAAGATGATGAACTTAAAGATTTCCCAAAGATCTGTAATAAAAGGCCATAATTGTACATGGAATTGGGCAGCTTTTAAAAATTACGGTAGCATTTGTCTCCGAGGCGCAATGGTCGTTAGTATGTGTGCACGCGTAATCCACTACGGTGACGAAATGGCGTGACATAGAGCACTTGCTTTTGGACAATG